CCTTTGGATTGAATGAATAAACCTCAATAATACACACACACACACACACACACACACACACACACACACACACACATATATATATATATATATATATATATATATATATATATATATATATATATATATATATATATATATATATGTGAGATAAAATACAAATCATGCTTAACTTACTAACTTACAAACTAATTCTGACCATCTATTTTAATGAAACAACCGTGCAATTCATCTAGATTAGATTAGAGAATTAAGGGCTTATTAGTCTTTTAAGGTTATTTTACTTTTGGAAGAAACCTCACGTTGCCTTTCTTTCCATAACCTATTCTAATCGGTTCATTCCCTTTCTCCTACCAGGTTCTTCCATATCAAAGCATCTCTCCATCTTCATCTTCATCCCCATCCCCATCATCATCTCAATTTCCATCTCAATTTTAATACAAGGTGATTAGTGTTCTTCTATTCGAATTATGGATTCAGACACGCACAGGGAGAACATTAGTTCTTGAACACCATGGATTCCGACATCGCCATGGAATCCGATATGCACGCCAGATTTTTTGTTTGGTTTTTTTCATATCAATTTAACAATTTCGTGTTTTGCAAAGTTTTTGTGATTTTAGTGTACTCTCTTTTTAAAAAATCTTCACGTGATTATCTTCTCAAATTGATGTTTTGTCATATGAGTATACTGGAATGATGAGGTAGTCATTTCTATCACCACGGAATCTGGTGTTCATGCTGGAAATACTTCGAGCATTTTGATGTTTAGGAAACGATTTCTATATATTTTAATATGGATGCACACAATTTCGTGTGCATTGACGTGCACTTTGTCGTGGTGTGCACTCAAAATAATAAATACAATACAACACTTATACGTAGTATAGTGTAGTAAGGTTCGTATCCACATGGAAAGGAATATCTTTCTTTTGATTAAAATAATACAAGGGGGGGGGGGGGGGGGGGTTGAGTTGATTTTATTTGATTTAATTAACACTAAGATGAACGACTTATGTGGTTTACTTTAATAGAGATGAAGACTTGGTTTTGCTTTTATCCACTTAATGAAATGTTCGTCGATCCCGATTATATCTTTAACTATCTTCCTCTTGAATACTCAATCGAGGAGTATATCCAGTTCATCGAGGGTAGTTATTAATAACGAGACGCGTTCATTAATAAAACTTACTACCGAGTTAATATAAGACACATGTCGTATATCAACTCGATAGTAGCAATAAAATCAAGATGAAAACGATTGAGATTGATAACCTCAACACAAGCGGTTTATTGGTTTAATCAACATAATTAATTCCCCTTAGATTATTAACCATGAGACGCATGCATTAATAGTATCATCCTCAATAAGACCATCATAAAAGTATAAGATGAGGTCTTGTTCGGTGTAACCGTGATAGGGGCAGCAAGCACATAGCTTCTTAAATCTTTCCCAATATTCGTACAAGGACTCATCATCCTTTTGCTCAATGTTGCTTATTTGCTTCTTGAGAGATGATGAGATGGATGAGGGATAGTTCCTTTCAAGGAAGCATTTTTTCATAGCTGCCCATGTATTGATACTTCCCGAAGGAAGATAGAAAAGCCAATCTTTCGTAATGTCCTTCAAAGAGAATGGAAAAGCCCCCAGTTTAATTTGTTCTTCAGTCACACCGTTTGGACACATGCTTGTGCAAATGATGTGAAACTCCGAGAAGTGTTTATTTGGATCCTCCCCTCTCAGGCCCTGGAAGGATGGCAGTAGATGAATGAGCCCATATTTTAGCTCGAAAGTATCACCTTCATCAAGTGTAGGGAAGGTAATACACAACGGTTGTTGGTTCAGATTAGGAGCCGTGAGCTCCCTTAGTGTTCTCGTCTCAAGAGCCATGTGAAAGGACTCTTCGGATTCGCTAGAACTAGAGCTAGCGTTGGATGAATCTCCAGTAGATGAATCTCCGGTAGATGAATCCCAGTTTACTACCGTTGAAAGAACCGAATTAATTACAATCGTATTAATCGATTGATTCTAGTAATAATTAATATATGAAACAAAACTAGTTGATCCTTTAAGTAATGCTCAAAATATTAATATGAAATATGAAAATGAATTAATTAATACTCAAGGAAGAATAATAAAGAAGATGAATCCTACTATAATTAATATCAAGATGTTAACTAATTGTCATCTTAGTAACACTCCTCAATATTAACATAGAGGAAGAAATAACTATTACTATAACTAATGTCAAGATGTTAACTAATTGTCATCTTAGTAACACTCCCCAACATTGATATAGAAATAGTATTTAAAGGAAGAATTAATATTCAAGGAAGAAAATTAAAGAGAATAACTCACAACTTACAAATTCATTAAGCTTCAAAGTAGCAAAACCAAGATGGAAGAGTTTAGCTCCTCATTTGGAGACTAAACCTGATGAAAATATAAAGAAAGAACTTATGTAGACTGAGCTTAGAAGTATACATGATTTGATCATCTAATGCTGAAGGAAGGGGGTGTATTTATATGATTTTGGGCATGCAGTCCGGGTACCCGATCGGGTATATACACGGTACCCGACCGGGTATGTGTAAAATACCATATTCGAGGTATACTCGACCGATTTCAAGTTTAAAATCGAAGGCATACCCGATCGAGTGTATCGGTGTATCCGATCAGGTATAGACACTCGATTGTGGTCCAAATCTTCCCTGCATGTTCCTTTGTCTTCGGATCCAATTCGATTTGAGATTTCAATAAGATACCTGATCGAGTATAGGTCATACCCAACCGGGTATAGACAAAAAATCAGGATCTTCATTTCGTCTTGTGATTTTGCACCTTCCTTCCACTTTTGGGGTTCACCAACTGTCTATTTAGTGATCATAGACCTGTTTGAGCTCAGAATAAACCTAATCTAAACAATTTACAAGTATTTTAACAAACTAAACTATTACACCAAAAGTGTGTAATTTCCAAAGTAACAATCAATCACAACTAATTAAAAACATAAACATAAACATGGAAATTATATGTTTATCATGCATTCCTGCTTTTTTCATGAAGTTCATCAATTTCGTATTTATGGAAAAAAGATGTTTAAATTATTCTACCATAGTGTGCTAGAAGCATTATGGATTTTGTGATCTCATGAATTTAATATGCATGTCCGTTGAGTATACAATGCAAATGTCATAGCGATTAGATGTAGTATGAACTTCTAAAGTGCACATGTAATCTTACTAAAATGCAATATATGAACTTCTGAATGCACATGTCACAATGATAAAATGCAACATATGAACTACTAAGATGCAGACGCCAAAGCGATAAGATGCAGTATGAACTTCAAAGATGTTGTAGCGATATGATGCAACATATGGTCTCCTAAGATGCACATGTCATGTTAGTGAAAAACAATATACTTCATATGAACTTCTAAAAATGCAAATGTAATGATGGTACAATGCAACACATGAACTTTGAAAATGATTAAAGAATGGATGCACTTGTCACAATGATAAAATGCAATGTATGAACTTCCAAAGTGCAACATAATAAATTAATGGACTCAATATGACAACCATTATATAGATAATGATAATATCATGTGACTAAAAGTGTAGCATATTCAAAACTATTATGCAGACGTTATAATTATGAAGTGATTAATTTCGTAAATAAAGGAATTTATTTTACAAATATTATCATATGCAAACGTTATAATTTTACAATGCACATCTCATTACCTTAATATGCAGTTCTCACGAAAGTGGGAGTGGAGTTTCAATAATAAAAGTTTATTAAAGAACGGTTGGTTCTATGAATTAGGAGATTAGTTTTGTAAATGCTGCCATTAATTATTATTTACAAATAGGTAAGTTATTTGGCAATTCGTGGCTAGCATCAATCTAGGGATTTAACTTGTCTCCCACTTACCTTTTATGAATTGCTTATATTTAGATAGTCAATTGATTAGTAAAAAGTCGAAGGAAATTCTAGGGAAAGGATTTGAGATGACCATAATAACCTTGCAATTAAATCTGAAACGGTAGTGGGTTTTAGGATTTTAATTTTCTACATCTCAACCAATGAATACTACCATGGATGTCATAAGTAGGGGTGGGCATAAAAAACCGTAACCGTATAACCGCGCCTAAAAACCGGAAAACCGCCGTTTTTCCCGGTTAACCGAACCGCAATTTTTTAAATCCACGGTACGGTTAACCAACCGTGAGAATAAATGGTTCACGGTACGGTTACGGTTTTAGAAATATGTTATTATCGGTTAACCAATAACCGGTATGTTCATGTCTGGTCATGAACTTTACGTTCTCAGAGAACTTGGAAAGATAAATATGTATCCAACACATCTAGATACATCAATTCTAATAAACATGTGAAGAAACCAAATTATGTTTGTCACTATAGAAATTTTAATTTCATATTATTAATAATTAGTCAAAGCTTTTGTGAGTTATAATTAATTAGCTCATTCTGCAATCGTGAGACTTAAACATGTGTATTCTTTTTTTGAAGCAATTGAACACGTTTATTCTTATTAAGTGTATTTTATCTTTTCCTGTATTCCACTCTCAAAATTTATTTTTCTCTAGCTTGGACTTAATTAATATAGAAAGAACATGGTGTGTGTATATATTTAATCAATGGTTTGATGGTTTTTGGTTAACCGGTTTGTGGTTAACCGATACTCGGTTAACCGAAGTTTTGGTTAACCGAGTATCGGTTAACCGAAGTAATAGGTTTCTCGGTTAACCGGAAAGTTGGTTAACCAAAACACGGTTAACCAACCACACCCACCCCTAGTCATAAGGATGACCATCCATATTGTTCAATCCAACAGATGCAGTTGATTTGTAGTTTGCACTGGAAACTTGATTTACACGTTAAGACTTCTTTTTATTTGAATTCTCCGTAGAGTTTGGATCAAATAAAAAGGGGTCATAACGTGTAAAATGAGAAATGTTTATGCAATCTATGAAGACATACTCCGTATATAGCTACTGGCCACGTCAAAGAAACTACTAGCTTAGTCTCTTCGGAAAATGTTACTTGGTATACTACAGTCCGAACGTATATACTACATATAAAAGACTCATATACATACACTAATACACATATGTAGGTAGATAGCGGTATATATAATGCTATGGAGTAGCTAGGGAGTCGTATCATTTAATTAATTTAACTTAGACGATGACAATGGTTGCAAGCTGGAGTTTGGACTTTCTAGCCTGCTGATCATCCACCAGTACGTGATTGCCTTGAAAATTATTTATTCTGTCTTCAAACTCAATGTACTTGTACCATTTCGCACACAACAGATATATTGCAAAATCGGCAGCAGTAAGGCCTGCCAAAAGGAAGTAAAACCAATCCAAATGGCCCTTGTTAAGGTCTGCGGGTATCCACCCGCCGGACATCTTGCTGTCGCTTCTCGAGACCTTCATCACAATGCTGACCAACAAGCTGCTGACGTAGTTCCCTAGGGATATTGACGTCATGCACAGGGCGCTTCCAAAGCTCTTCAGCCCGTCCGGTGACTGCCTGTTGAAGAACTCCAGCTGTCCCACGTACATGAAAACCTCGGATGCCCCGATCAGTGTGTACTGAGGAATTTGCCAGAATATGCTTAGCGGACTCGAGTTCTCGCATCTCGGGCAGTTCTCGTTGGCGGACTGCAACCGAAAGTACTCCACCGTGCCGGAAGCCACCATGGCGGTGACAGCTATGATCAGGCCGACCCCCATCCGCTGCAGTTCAGTTAACCCGCCTCTCACGTCACGCTTCTTCTTCAGGGTCGCCACCAACGGGTCTAGAAGGCGGCGGTAGATGAAGATGAAGGCAGCGACGCTGAGGATGTCGAAGCTGGACATGCTCGCCGCTGGGATGTGGAAGCCCGACACGTCGGTCTTCATGGCAGCCCCTTGTACTACGAACAAAGATGCCATTTGGGTGAAGACTACGGAGTATAGGATAGTGCATAGCCATATGGGAAGGAGCCTTAGAATACATTTCACTTCTTCCACTTGAGTGACTGTGCACAGATGCCGTGAATCCACGCTCGCCATCTTTGGTGCAACAATAGCCGCCTTATCCAAAATTCTGCATCCACACATTAATTAATTACCACAATCCTGAATTACCATATTAATTTTCATTATACTCCGTATTAAGGAATGATACACACAAATCTTACGTAAAACCATCAGTGTGGAGGAGCTTTCTGGTGCCATTCTCTCCATCTACTTCATGGAGTTGCTCAGTATCGGAAGGAAGGCGCAGCTTCCATTTTGTGGCTGCAGCAACCACCACTTGGCAAAACCTTGAGAGAGGGTTGCCTTGGGGCGTGATGTGCCTGTATCCAGATGTCCCGATGAGAAATAGGACCAAAGCAGAGAAGGCCGAAGCAGTTGACGCCCAGAACCCCAATGCCCACATCCCCTTGTCCTCAAAGTAGACCAACACAGTGTTCGAAAACAGGGACCCCAGGTTTAAGGCCAAGTAGAAGTAGCTGAAAAAGGCCACCTTGGAGTGGCTTTCTTCAGGCTCATCCTCGTCAAACTGGTCTGCCCCAAACGTAGCTGCGTTGGGTTGGTACCCTCCATACCCTAGGGCAACCAGGTAGATCGACACGTAGAATAAGCCCTGTTTGACCGCCGTGTGGGTTCCGCAAGGGCTTTCTTTGTCGCCACACCCTTTCGGTTGCACTAGGAATACATGCGTACATATTGAGAGTGACACAAGTCCCTGCATCCATCCATCCACTCACTATGAATAATAATGTACATCATTATAAATCTAAGTGTTTTTTCGGCGACAATTCCGGTACTCATTTAAAAAATGGGATATCGTACCTATCATTCACTTGATTGGTCTACATCCTTATATCATTTTTAATTTATATTTAAATAATTCAACTGCAACATTCTCATTGATCCATGTGGATAAAGGTACGGTACCTTTACAGAACTTGCTATGAATAATGTACATCATCAAATGTAAAATAATTACTTGTCTCACTAATACTTCACGTATTTATCAGAACTTGCTAATATTCTTTAATTTTCCCTAATATAAGATACCTTTTTCTTATTTTATTTCATACGGAGTATGTGCCTAATTATGTAATGAGAAGGAATCATGCATTGTCGATCGTATTTTGAGAATGGTCATGAGTTCTATCCTATATAAGTATTTTTTCACCTTGATTTATGTGTTTCACCTTTTCTTTGTTCATTTCAGGGTCTTGTTCCATCCATATGAGATACATATACAGTATATTTGCTCGTATCATAATATGTATAAAAGTATTCTAAGGTAAACATCACCATCCTTCCTTTAAGTGGAATTACACAAGAGCAAAGTTAATATGTTATCACGAGTCTATTCAAATATACTCCTCTCCCACAATTAAAGTCCAACTTTGGCTTTCGGATCATATAAACTTTGACCATTAATTTGCAAACCTCACTTTAGTTAAAAAGTTAATTTCATATACTTCATTGTAATATACAAAGTATATTTTTCAAAAGTTTGTTTATTATGGAAATTATGAGTACATATTTCGAACCGAACTGCAGGTTCATGATTCCAAATTTTACGGAACAAGAACAGGAACCGCACATTACTGGTTATAAAACTGGCGGTTCCGGTTCCAATCCATTTCGGTCCCAAAAATATACTACGTATTACAAGAACAAATATCTCTCATTGTTAAAATTAAGTACAATAATAAGATAAATTAATAGCTAAGTAGTTATAAATTAGATCGTAAAATCCTACAATCTATTATTTTAAGAGAACTTAGTTACTAATAAATTATGAATGCTTATTACTAATAATTTTAATAAAAAAAATCTTTCAACTAGTATAGTAATAACTAATGAGTAGTAACTAGTAACTCTTAGAATGGTTATTTCTATTATTAGCACAACTAGTACTATTATTATAATTATTAGCATTATTATTAATAAATACTTACTTAATAAAAGAGGTTCCGAACCGTAACCGTCCATTCCATGGAAAATCGAATGGGCCAGTTACAATTATTGAGAAAATCGAATCGAATTAGCTAGTAAACCTCTGGTTCCAAAACGGAAGTACTATGCGATTTCGGTTACGGTTCCGATTTAACCGTAAACTACTTACACAATAAGAAAATACACATATCAAACGCTCACTAGATGAGACCAATCATTAAAAGATGAGATTAGAAAATTTTAATGAAATAGAAAAGAAAAAGTGACTCACAATGACGTAAATGGCCTGAAAAATAGCACAAGTTCTGTATCTTCCCCAATAGGAATCACTTAGAAAGGCTCCGAGGAGAGAAAAGATATAAACAGTGCCAGTCCACTTGCTCACGTTGTTCGCTGCTTCAGCGTTGTCTTGCCCCATGACTCTAGTCAGAAACAATACCAAATTCACCCCCACCCCGAAAAATGCCAATGTAGCTAGACCTTGGTTCACTGTAATGCATGCATTTTCAATCAAAATATATATATAATCCCGAGTATACCATAATCAATCACTTTTATTTTCTAAACTTACAAACAATAATAGTTTTTGAATAAAACAATAAAATTAAATTAGGTGCACTATATATGGTTGTGGGTTCCATCAAAACAGAACAAACTTATTATTGTACTAGTATTATATTGTTCACTCTAACATTTGATAGATTAACAACTATGCCTTATATTACACTAAACTGATTTATCTATGGGTTTGCCTATGTTTTAATAATTAGACCGTCCGTGGAGGCTTGAACCATTTAAGATCTAACAAGTACTGTAATAAAGTCCTGCTCCAACGAGCATTACATTATTACGGGAGCAGAATTAAGTATCTCGATCCAACCGGCTCAATATAAAGATAAAAACAGCATAGAAGTCTTTACCTCTTATAAGTTGAACCTCAAAGTCTTGATAATGTTTTCACCACTTTCATGAGGGTTGCCTATGTTGACTTAAAAAGTTTTTCAAGGAAAGTCAAAGTGGGGCAATGCTCACGCTTGTCTGGTATGAAAGAGTTCGGACGGGCCGACGGCCATCAATCCCATCATCATTTTTATGATAATAGTTTTTGTTTACTACTCCTTCTCTCGCTATATACCTCTCAATATTATCTTTTCTTTTCCTTTGATAAATAATTTGTGTTTCAGAATAATTCTTACATATTTCTTTCTCATCTACACAATTCTACACCATACAAAACTTATTATCTTAATTTGTGTACCTGGTCAAATGAGGAGATAATATAGAGACGGAGGGAGTAATTGATTCCGTTCACTATATTGTGCATAAATTACGATGGCGCGATATGGATTAAAGATTGGCTCAAGAAGATAATTGTTACAAACCATCTGCTCACAAGTTTATACATACATTCAAAAGAGCATGGTATAATCAGTCCATTTTTAGAAATAATTATATTTTAGATAGAAGTTTTGTTAAATCCAAATAATAATATCATAATGTCTTGCTTGAGGAAACTAATTTTAATTATATGTGATTTTAAAAGAAAGAAAAAGTCATGCAAACATGCCAAATAAAATACATTTAGCAAAACCGATATGCTACCTTTGTCCTGAAAAGAAGTACTTACTTTCTTTTTATTATGTCCCAAAAGTCCCTAAAAGAAATTCTTATTACTACTAAAGGAAATAACTTTCAAACGCAAAACCACAATTACCCTTATTTTTTGTTTACTTTTCGCTAGATTTTATATAAAGTAACGATATACTTAAAAAGTTAAAACAAAACTTTACCATGCATAAGTATGTGTTTAGATCAAACCAAAAATTTCATTTCAAGACATGAGTGTATAATGATTCTTTTATGACGTTATGGACAAAATTAAAATATTATATTTGAAGTTTTGAACAAACCATGACTCTTTTCTTGAATGTGAATGATTCTAATTGAACTGATTTTTTTTTTGTTTTTATCTAGTGGTCAAGCACAGATCAGTTTTATGTGCATATTTATATAGTTTAAGCCGTCTGATATTGTCTAATCTAGTCTGCTTGATTTGGTCTGTGAGCGGGATCAATCCAATTTTGTGTACAATTTACTTTTATGTTGAACAATTTCTTTCAAAACCAATTAGGTTTGAAAAGTTATTTTATACATAAAAGATGAGTTTTTGCCATTTTTGGTCCCCAGCTAGTGTGTCATTGACACTTTTGGTACCTGACTTTTAATTTTTCCAATTTTAGTCCCCGACTTCAAAGTTTCTCACATTTAGTTCCCTGAGTATTATCAAGTTGACAATTTTAGTCTAATGTACGACCAGGCTCACTACAGAGGCCGAGGGTCTGGAGACAAGCATCTCCACTTCAGAGACCGAGGGTCTAGAGACAAGCATCTCCAATTCAGAAGCCGAGGGTCTGGAGAAAAACATCTCCACTTCAGAGGCCGAGGATCTGGACACAAGCATCTCCACTTTAGAGGCTGAGGGTTTAGAGACAAGCATCATCCACAAAGAGGCTAGGGCCTTGAGACGCGCAGCATATGCAGAGACTGAGTGTGCCAAGGCTGGACGTATCAAAGTCATAACGTCCCAAGGAGGTCCAGCTTAGCATCCGGAGGCCGGACGTCCCTAAGAACTCGGGCCGAGGAAGGTCGCTGAGTATGACGAGGTCGGGGCGCATAAATAGTAGCATTTATTTCATTGTAATGGTTGACAACTTAGCACTCTAATAGTATAACGATTGTAACAGCTCGTAGCATAGGCAAGAGACGAACGAACTCATGCCTTTGTATCGAGATTATTGTATTAGGATTTCTTACTGGGCTTTTCTTGCTTGTTTCTACATCTACTTCCTTACTTCTTCCATTCAAAACCCTTGGGTCGGGTGTTGGGCCTACGGGTTGAAGAAATAAACCTCAACAATTGGATTGTACATTAATGAAACATGATTTGTTTTGGCAAAATAACCATTTGTAGATGACATTATACACGCCTCATACACGCTGTTTGTGTAGAAAAAGGAACGAAAACAAGGCTAGTATATTATTGAGTTACACTATCCAAGGAATTCCTAAATTATGACTTTAATATATGGTTAAATTAAAACAGTATGGGATTCTACATTAATCAAACATGATTTGTTTTGGCAAAAAAAACTATTTGTAGATGACATTTTCCATACACGCCTCATACACGCTGATTGTGTAGGAAAAGGAACGAAAACAGGGCTAGTATGTTATTCAGTTACACTATCCAAGAAATTCCTAAATTGTGACTCTAATCTATGGTTAAATTAAAACTATATGGGATTGCACATTAATGAAACATGATTTGTTTTGGCAAAAAACCATTTGTAGATGACATTTTCCATACACGCCTCATATACGTTGTCTATGAATACATAGTTTACTCACGAAAGAGTAGATTTCAGAGAAAGTGTGTATGGAAATGATGTGCATGAGAAGGATAGCTCTTTTTTGGATGTGTAATGAGGAGCCCTACACAATACAGGTGAAAAGGAGGGTAAAAATATACTCCCTCCATCCCGCTAACAATGGGACAAGAGGGGGTGACACACAAATCAATAAAAAGTGGTTTATGTGGTTGATATTGAATTGGTAAAGTAAGAATAAAGTAAGAATGATTTAGAGCCACACAAACTTTGCCAAATTTGGTATGAGACAATCTTAATGGGACGGGCCGATAAGGTAAAACGGGACAATCATAGCGGGAGAAAGAGGTAGTACCTCGTATCATCTTATGACAATAAAGAAAGTCAGACAGCGATACAGTTGTGAAAGTTAAAGGGAACAGCCCCTCATGCAAGTAGGTCTCAACTATGAACTGAAGACGTCCTTATGTAACATTTTACTTAACTTTGAAAAAGAAAAGTTTTACGTACGTACCCAGCAAAAGCACGCCCGAGACCCACCCTCCTGTGCTACTTCTCACAGCTGGCCGACCATGCCGATCAATACTTCCATCAAGGGTGCATTTCCCTCCTCCGCCGACGATCTCCTCTTTTTGGCCCTAAACCAAATCCAATTTACGTTCAATACCTTAGTTGTTGCACTTTAAGTACATACCTTTTCATCAATCATGCATACACCGAGTACATATTCCATTAAATACAGAGCATTAATTAATTTCACTGTTAATAAATAGTGCTGAAGTTACACTTTGGATGTAAATGGTTGAATTCAATCGCAATAACACGTCCTATCTCTTATGTCTTTGTCAAAGTTAAATCACATTCGCGTAGAGTAAATTAAAAATTATGCGGTTAATGTTTGTACAGAACAAAGAATATCAACAATCACAAATTCTATTTTTCTATATTTAAAAAGAAAGTGACAAAATTGTTGGATAATAGAAAGAAGTTGATAAAATTATAAGGGCCAAAGTGAGAAAGTCCTTACCAAGTATTCCCTAATTTTTAATGGAAGAATATGGAATAGTTCATTGTATAAGTAGCCAGTCAGGTTATGTTTGAAAAAAAAAAAGGATGACATCCCATCCTTGAGGCCCCCCAATCCCGATCGGACGGTACGTTGTGAGGATGTAAATTGAACTATAATCCCAATCTGACAGATAGAGAGTGGGATTCTGCCCCCGATACTTGCAAAGGCCCTATGCATTTTTAGCATAGTAACCCAGTTAGGTTATGTTTGGAGTTTAGGGGAATGGGTGAGAGAGATTTTGAAGGTAAGTTGTTGGAGTGGGAATGGAGGGGAAGGTAAGAAAACTTTTTTTCTTATTTGAAGTATTAAGTTTGGAATAAGAGAATTTTAGAAAGAATTATAATTAAAATTACTTATGTGATATGACAAATTCAAATAGTTGAACTTATATTAATTTTAAATTGAACTTAAAATCATCATTTAATTAGTTATTCATCACAATCTATTTTAACTGAACTTAAAAATTGCGCATTTTAAAGACTTTGGAAGGTAGGGTCTCCCAAACACAAATTTTAAACACCTAAACACAAATATGAGGAATATCACATCAACCCTCACATGTTTTCTCCTCCCTCCCAAACACACCATTGGGGAATTTTGATGATCAACTACTTCAGTAATAATTTTAATATATCGGGCCAGTTTAGCTATTTAATTGCCTATTTTGCCTTACAAACCAAACGTGTTAATTAATGGAAGCAATTTCATTTAATACATTCGCTCCCTATTAAATATTAGGTTCAGCAATCAGATGAGAACAATAGTACTCCGTAAGATTTAAATTGCAAAAAAGAAGATCTATGATGCCCGTCCCGGCCTTTAACATTAATGCCCAAGTGTTGGCGGGCGGGGCGAAAGCGAGAGCTGGTTTGGACTCTGTATAATTAATTAATTAATTAATTAATTAAAGTTAGGCCTGACCTGACCTGACCTTGCTTGCTTGTATCAAAGCGTAAGCTAATGATTTATGGGTGGGCAAATTAAACATCAAACAGACCAAACTATATTGATTTCATAATACGGCTTCTTGTCTTCTCACGACTTCAAATTAATCCAAAGAATATATGTACACTATTAAAGAATGCTTAGCCAATTGGATGAAATGGAAGTTGTAGCCCACTCAAACACAAAACAAAAGAGTGATAACACCTGAACTAAATAAACCTGAAAAAACATGGGAATTGAAGTTCCGACTGAAAAAAAAAAAAAGAGATGGATGAGATTTCTCAAGGTACGAAGCAGAGGATATATAGCCAGCGGCGGGTTCAGCTGATTGTTACTTGTCGTGTGAGACTGTTCGACCCAGAGCTTTTTTTAAGGACTCAGCCGTGTCACGTTCATACGTAAACCTTCAATAATCTCACGAACTCCGATCCCAGCTTTAAGTGACTAACAACTATCAGGAATGGAGCAGCCCGGAAGGGACCTCCACCTCCAATTCTGATCTTTTCATACTACATTTATGTATATGTTTATAATAAATATATGAAAATATGTAGGTGTTACGTACATAGATGAAGTTTTGGCCTTCACATTTTTTTTTTAATCTAGACCTTGCTTGGGTAATATGTCTAGCTTCCCCTTTGTGAAGGATTGCACGTACTATTATATAGTCCTTCCGTCCCATTTAAAGGTTCTCGTCCACTATTCACATGGTCAACTTAAATCATTCTTAACCTTTTGCTTTATATATCAAATTTTTATGAAATTTACATATATTTTATCAACCTTTGTAGCGACTTTAATGTAGTTTCTGAATATGTAATTTTTGTTTTCTAAAAATAATCGGAGTGTGAACAAGGATCAAGTTGCTTTATCGTCAGTCAAGCATCGTAAACTGAACCGAGAACCTCTCTATGGGACGGAGGGATTAGCATATACTTAATTATGTATTTACTTATTAGCAAGAATTTCATTCTTTTGAACACAAAATTGTGTGAGGCTGTCTTTATAAGATGAGACATGTCGAACTAAATTTGTTGATCACCTTTATACAAAAGGAAAATGCACAAATACTAGGTAGCAATATGTATTTTTGTAATATATAGGAATAAGCAATTTCTACGCATATTGCTTATTGTTTACGTAGTACTCCGTATTATATACGGTACTTGGTATGTTATGAAAAAGAATTATTGGGACTAAAACAGTGCAATGCTCCCCTCGTGCAACCTTCTTCTCCCACCGCAATTGGCCCCACTATCGTCTACGGATGGCATGAGCGATGACCAGTGAAGTAAATATTAATAAATGATTTGTGAAGTAATATATCACTCATTAATCATGTTGTCATGAAGAATTACAATTTTGAAGTGGTGAATAGGATAGAGAAAATAAAACCGAGTGACTTTTTTTTCTTCAAATTGGAATAAAATATGAAACATTTCGTCCATATTATTTCCTTACCCTCTTAATGGGGATAAATAAGTCATTTTCCCTGTTCCTTGAACAATATTGAAACACCATATTAGGTCCGTCCCACTGGTAATTTTTAACTTTAAATTAGACAAAAAATATAAAAAGTAAAAATTGTGTAATTAACGTTTGTACAAAGAAAACAAAGAGTATAACGATAAATTAGTTAGTTTGATGCGATGGAGTGAGATAAAAGAAAAAATAGAATATACGTATATGAAAGTGGATGCTTTACATACATAAATCAAGTTTGTTTATCTATGAGATTCAAATACAAATTAGAAATTGCTAAATATTGGATCAAAATATACTCAAAGTGCAAAAATAAACAAAATATATGTTACTACCTCCGTTCCTAAAAATTCTTCCCGGTTTGACTTGGCACGCTTATTAAGAGAGTGGAATAAAGTGGAAATGTATGGTTGTGTTTGTATAAGAAAAAGGTAAAATGAATGTGAGTCACACAAATTGTCCAAAATGGGAAAGTGGGAAGTATTTTTGGGAACAACCCAAAAAGGAAAGTGAGAAGTATTTTTAGGAACGGATGGAGTATTTCTCAAATAGGACTTATTTAGTTGAATAAATTAATAAAAACTTCCAAGAGTGAATAAGTCCTCTTTGAAGAATAAAATCATAATGATCCTATTTATGAACTTTATCATTATTTTAATTCTATATATTTAGAGAATTTCCCGACAAACTAAATGCCTATGAGCACGTTTCGGTAGATAACAAAATTTTCAACGGACAACAACAATTATAATATCATTCTTATTAAATCAAGAAAATGTAATACTCGTGTAAGGAATGAATCGACATTTAATTTAACGTACCCGTTTGGCAAAACTTAAGCAAGACATTGTTGCTTTCTGCTACCATGCATCTATCAGTAAACTGATGGAATTGATGAATATCTGCTAGCTAGCTGCGCTCTTAGCTTGTGATATGATATATATGATCGATGATTAGAATTTCGAATCTATGTATACATACATATATATGTTGGGTACGTGCTAGCTGGAGATATGATCGATCAAAAAGACATCTGATAAAATAAAATTTTGAAGCTCACCAGATCATACCAATAACCATTATATATTCAAAAAGCTAAGTGATGAGTATAAGTTTATAAAGTTATAAGAGAGGATATATGTATAAGCGGAGAAGCTGATGACGGGTATATAAATAGATGAGACGGAATTGAAGGGAGCAGTACGTGCTACTATATATATTATTATATTGATATTAATATGATTCTCCGTTCTCAAACAAATTTGGATTGATCATTAATATCTTTCATTTTATATTAGTAAAAAACTTAAAAATTCATATGTTAAAAATTTAGAATGAGAAGAATTTAACAATATTTTTAAAAATTTAATTTATAATATATTAATGTAATAAATACTCTCTCCGTCCCTTAAAACTTTGTCATCTTTCCTTTTTTGGACGTACCAAAAAACTTTGCCACTTTTCCTTTTAATCAATTATTTTGTGGTTTCTCTTATTTCTCTCTCCTTTGCATAAATCTCAACCACACAGTTTTTACTTTATTATTCTCCGTGCCGGTCAACTTTGGCAAAATTTAAAGATACGGAGGAAGTATAATCAAAGTAAAAGATGGGTGAAAACTGCAACACATCTAATGTTACGATTAAAAGAGAATAATGTGACCTGAGGTAGCATATACTCCAATAGGTAGCTAGCTAGGTACGTGTAGAATAATGTGACCTGAGGTGTTATTTGGTGTATGCAAAATTGTTACAGTAATATAAACACAATGATTGACAGCTAATTAAAATCCATTGCGTAAGAGAAGTGATCTGCTTGATCATTTGATATGTAAGAGAGAGAGAAGAGAAAACGATCAGACGACTCAGCTATGGGAATTAGCCTACCAACATTAATACGGACTATATTTTATTTGTTTTAATATAATCATCAATCAAACCAAATAGCTCAACTCTATTCCTGATTTGACAATTTCTAAAAACAAAGTTTGTTTTTTATACAGTACTCCCTCCGTCCCAATTTGATTTGCAAAATTTCCTTTTTTGGTGTCCAAAATGATTTTCCACTTTCTATATTTTATGTATGTAAATAAGAATAAAATGATAAATTTACCCTTACTTTTACTTTTTCCTCATTAACTTAAAAACATCTACTTTTAGAAAGATGAGCAAAAGTGTAAAAAGCAAACATCATTTATTGTCATTTTTTAATCTTTGTGCCGGTCAAAGTTTGCAATTCAATTCGGGACGGAGGAAGTATAAAGATATGTGTGAAAGCACGTTATGGTTTGTCAATAGATTTAGAGAGTTTTTTCAATGTTCCAAAACGTTGAATCTCAACCCCAAGGGTCCCATGTTCCGATCCAACAAAACATTTATGAGGTTATAAGTCATGTTGACCTTCTACTCATGCGAATCAGAGGTCCATCCCGGCATATATGAATTTTAACCTTCAAACGACTACTGCGAATTTCCATCCATGATCAATGTTGTAACTTTCCAATCACTCACTCAACTGAGCTTCTCGTGCAGGTTAGCTAGATTGTTTTCAAAAACTTTTAAAAGTATATATTGGCATTTTTATTTCAAAAGGTTAAAATGAATGTTTTAAGTTAAAAAAGTTATTAAAAAAGTTAAAATGAGTGATTTTTAAGTTAAAAAAAGTCACGTAGTAAAATATATTGGCATCCGTTTGATTTAAAAAAGTTAAAATGAGTGATTTTTAAGTTAGTAAAAGCAAGTGGAGGAATGTTTAAATTATTTCTCACACTTTTCTACTACTAGTACATTTTACACAATTTTGTTTTTTGTCAAACACTATCATTTCAACTTTTTGAAAAACACTCTTTTCTCAACGCTATCGACCTTAACTATAGAACATTTTCTCTAAAATCACTTTAATTTAAACAATCATTTTTTAAAGTAGAAACACACACGTACTTTCTTAATTATCTTTACTCGCCAGGTTTAATTTATTACATTACATCCTTGTGTGTGTATCAATTTAACATATGTAGGACATAATTTGTTCTTGTAGGAATTATGAGAGATATTTGGAGCATGCTTGGGATGAAAATGGCCTTTTAAGGAGCCCTAAAGCTCAAATGAAGATTCTAAAGACCCGGAGATGAACCAGTGCAAAATCAATTCAAGCAAAATTGAAGCTAAGGCAGTGAAGATTTCTATCTTTCGGATGAATAATGTGACACTTGATATATATTTGAAAACAATTAATAGTACTATTCATATCAATAAGGTGCATCTCATTTTCAGGGCCGGTCCTGACATTTGATGGGCTCGGGCAATTGAAAAAAAAAACTTAACAGGTTATATAAATATATTACAAAAGCTTAACTCTATATACGCAAATTTCAACATACAAAGTAATGTGAGTCCTTCATCAAAGTCTTAAAATATATGAACTAATTAAAAGAATAAAAAATTATATTAAAAAATAAAAAATAAAATTAGAAAATAACTTGTTAAACTGAAATTTCAAATTTGGAAGACATTTTTGAGGAAATTAGGAGAGTGTTGATTGGTGATCGAACCAAATTAAAGTCCAAAGATGAAACCTTGAAATTAGGCCGACCTAGTAGGAATCGTTGTCAAGCCGAGGCAATTTGGGATCCTTCCTAATCAATTTTTTTGATGAAATTTTTTAAGCATGCTGTTCATCAAGTTTATAATATCCCCATAAAATTTCAGATTAAAATTAAATAGAAACGTCAGTTAAATTAATTCTTGAAACGTACTGCGCATTATTTATATACATAAAGCGCAGTATGTCTCGATATTTTATTTAACTAACTTTATTGTTGAATTTTAAGCTGAAATTTTGTGGATGTAATCTACACTTGATGAAGAATATGCCCAAAACGTTGTATCAAAAAATTCCTCCGGAAAGGTCCCTAAATGGCCTCGGCCAGATATGAATTGTCCTCTCTCTCTCTCTCTCTCTATATATATATATATATATATATATATATATATATATATATATATATATATATATGTGTGTGTGTGTGTGTGTGTGTGTGTGTGTGTGTGTGTGTGTGTTTGTATAGGGGTGAGATCACATACAAACCATGTTTAATTTATTAACCTACAAACTCAATAATATGCAACACTTTTAACTTTAATATGCAGTACAAATAATGTAAAGATGCACACTTTGAACTTCAATATGCAATACAAATAATCTAAATATGAAACTGCTATTTTATTGCTTGAATAATATGCAACACTTTGAACTTCAATATGCAATACAAAAATGTAAAGATGGCATGCATGAGAGGACTAGTTTGTATGTGATTCCACTCCTGCATCTTTACATTATTTGTACTCCATATTGAAGTTCAAAATGATAGGTTAGTATTTTAAGCATGGTTTGTATTTGATCTCTTGTGTATATCTTAACATATCTTATAAAGGCCAGTTTTAGTATTAAATGCTCATGGTTTGTCATGGTTAGGCTTTAAAGTGTAGTACCGTATGCTATCATATTGTCCCGTATGAACTATTTTTCAAATTGCCGACCTCACCATCCAATTTACCGTTAACAGTGTTAAATTCATTTGACGATGGTTACTTGTGTTTAAGGATGCTTACTCCACATACGATATGAAATCAATATATCTGCTATGTGTTATCATTTTTGTATCGACTCTTCAGTTTCAACAACTTTTAATTTTTCAGCGTATCTCTCGTGTCGAGTGTTTTCTTGGTTTGAATCCATTTTTTATTTTCCAACCAAATCATCACAGGATACCCACATCTCTGTTCGACAATGGACAAGATGTACCCTCTTATCAATTTAATTTTATATTCAGATTTTAACTTTTCACCTATTCAAATACATAATGGGATTTAAAGTTCCCTTATCCCCTTCTCACGATCATGATCATCAATATCTAAGTTGTACTATTCTCTTCCCAATTGTTAATGAGTTCACGTTGCATTTTAACTATTTCCTGTTTTTTTTAAAAAAATGTAATGCTTGTGTTCTACAAATGTTATCTCGATTATTGATAGATGATCTGAAATTGACTAGCTAATGCAATAATCCGAAGCTCATTAATGTGATCTCGAGTATGATTAAATGATGTGAACAAGCTCATATGAAAAGAAATGGAATGCACAATAGGTGTTTGATAATATGTGAAGCTTATTTCATTGTACTTACTCTCACATGCTAACACACATATCAGTTTTTTTCTTACATATTGATTTGCACTTAGTCTTAGAATTGTCCCCATTATTTCATTCAAAAAAGAAAGAATTGTCCCCATTCATTTTGAACTTAACTTAGTGTCATTTCAAACAACAAGAAACAACACAAATCTTTTTTAAATATGGTTCGTTTGTGTGTTAGTTCATTGTAAGTGCGCCATCTAAATTCAAAAGCAAACATCTCATTAAAATGTTTATGCATATAGAAATGAAATGATACGAATCTTCTCTGATCTGTAGAGTGTAACTGGGATGAATAAAAATAGCTTAAAAATAGAATTAGTGAACTTGTGTGGAATATGTTATTTTTGTGCACTCGTTTCTTTTGACTTTGCACTTTCCTATTTTTTCTCCAACATTTCATGTTTAGTTTTTTGAGTGTAGTGCTCCCCCCGATATATTATTTATTCTACCGAATACGTTTTATTACATGATGACTATCTTGAGTTTATCATACATTATTTCTATATATGGAAAAAATAGTTTACATCTCAAGTAGCCGCTTATTTATGTATTATTATCAATTCGAGAAGTTAGTGATTGACATTTTTGTTTTAATTAAAATGTTGTTCCCACCTTCTCAATGTAGTATGTCACTGACACTAATATTCATTAAAACATAGAAACTATATTTTTTTGATTTTATTGTAGAAACTATAAATTATCTCACGTTGAACCAACTATGAATTTCTTTGAATTTCTTTGAAGCAAGTATGGTGATTTATCCTGTTTAGATTCAATTAAACCAACTATGAATTTCTTTTTCTCCGCTTGACCTATTCTCTCACGTTGAATCCCCTACGTACAAAATCTATCAAACTACGACTATTATCATGAGGTATTTCATATTTGCATTGTCTTTGTGGAGTTTTGCGTTGTACTTTGAAGAAAACAATGTTTTTGACACTCCGA